AATTTCTATTGCAGCATTGAAGAATCCTGTCAGGCAATGACCTGAGAAGAACAATACTATCTTCTGCCACTTTTCATCACACTGGCTCAGTACCACAGAGGTTATGTTTATTCCAATCTAGCTTTTTTTGGTCATAAAATAAACCCTTGTTCCATTACTGACTAGTTCTAGTGCTTAAGTCCAGAGTTTCCTCTCTCCAACTAGTGAACATGTAGATCTCCAGAAATCGGTAAGGGTTAACTAGAAATTGTGATTAGAACAGGGAATTTGAATATAGGAAGAAAGTGAAATGTAAGTCAAATGTAAATTACTTTTGAACATTAGTGAAGGTGGTACTTATTCAAAATGCTTGGACTTTGAAGTGCACTGGATAGAAACATTCAACGAAGTGTGAATTTTGGAGATGGGCTGAAAATAGCTGTGTCTGCAGAAAGCTGGACTCCTCAAATCTTGGTTAAAGGCTTGGATTTAGAATCTGTATCTTAAAAGCTTCCATCAAAAAGAATTTCAGCTCTGCCCCTGCCAGACTAGGCTGCAGAATACTGGGATACATTTTGTTACTTTCTATGTTGCACTTATATCCTGACTAGGGGGAAGTCTCTGCATGTCAGAATTTTGCAATGAGGTTGTTGCTTAAAGGAAAGCGCCATACATATGGATGCACTTCAAAATCCCCCTGGATTTTGAGAAAAAACAGTATTTGTGTCAATCAATGCTCTCAGTGATCACCAGAGTTCTAGAAAGCTGCCAGCTGAAGTGGCTGTAGAGTCCTGTGTTTTGCAGAAATCAACAGAGGGATGCTCATTTAGTTTACTGAGCTTTAATGAAGCTAGTTTGGGACCTGGAACTCCTGCTTATCAGCCACATATTTCCAGACTAAATCATTCTCTCACCAGATTGTTTTCAAATAAGCTATTCTGTCTCTAATGAATTGTGGGCATTATAGAGTAATTCTGGTTTGAATGAACAGACACCTAACTGACTTGTTCCTACATGTATCTCTAGCTTCACATGTATTTCTGATATCAGATCATACAATGAGCCTACACATAGGCCAAAGAGAAGTTTGCTGTTTCTTTCTCTTGTTTCAAGCCTATTGCCTGAACCCTCTCCTATCTTCTTGGCAAAGTTGAGTTGGAGTGCCTATACTCTCCCTGGGCACCATATCTGGAATACAGCCTTGTTTCTCTAGACTTGCGGAAATATTACTGCAATAGTAAAGGCACTTGTGAGTCAGATTTAGCCATCAGGACACTTGCTTCTGGTCTGTCATTTCTTCCCATAGAATACACTGAAAGCCCAATAAAATAGCAGGTATTACCTAGTCAGCCAAGCAGTACCATGACAGGAGATAAACAGAGATCCGGGGTGCCCATGGATGCCAAATGGTAGGATGGAGGGAGGGAAGAAAGCGTAGTCCAGGTAGCATAGTCATAACTGCTGCTTTTTGAGAGTTGGTATCTCCCAGCAGCAGTGCCAACATAATGAGGGTAGCTACTTGCACAAAAGGAGCTGCAAGCAGGAAGGAGTTGAGACAAAGCAAGCTGTAGTTCTCTGGAATGGGGGAAGACCAGGCTGAGGGTGCGTGGAGGAAGAAATCTTAAAATCCAAGCTGACCCACACAGCTGCTGACTTATTCTTCATGTAGACAATAGTGTTATAAAGAGGTCATGACACAGCTGCATCAAAGCTTTCACGTACCCTCGGTTGGACCATTCCTCTAGAACACAACTGTGCTCTAAAGGGAAAAGAAAGCCCATGCACCACTTCTCTGACTAAGATCAGTATGTATTTTTCCCTTATTTACAGACCTGATAGAGAGAGAGCTGTGTCTAAAACCTGCAACTGCACTCTCACCAGGCCTTGGTTTTGTAGACATTATGTGAATCTGTTTGTGCAATCCTGAAATCTACTGACAAGGACAAGCTTCATTGGGGTTTGGGACCTTCGTTGTACACAAAGTTGTCTTCAGGACTCTTTACGGTACAGGTTCTTGAATGAGAGCATTCTTTAGCCTGGGAAGATTTTGGGGTGTCTGTCAGTATGGAGGGCGGCTTCTTGGCTAAACTGCACATTCGTAAATTCTGACTGGTTTTGCTCTCCATATTTTTAGCTCTCTGCTTACAAACCCAGGTTTCCTCTAGACAACAGCAAAAGCCTCTGAGGGAAAAGAAAAGGAAAGGAAAGTTACAACAATTTCCTGTTAGAAATCTTTTAAGATTAACCAAAATAGCTTAATCACAAACTGTGTTGTGGCAGTATTAAAATTCAATTATTCTTACTAAAAGAGATGAGTCTATTAAGGGAAAGCTTTGGATCTTTTACAGATTAAAACTTCCATCTTCAGCTGCTATTGCTCCTCTTGACAGTTCACTGTGATTATGACAGATGAGGCAAGTAGAACTTAAGGAAACAGTCCACATTTGCTGATGATGGGGAAGAAAGAAATATTTAGCAGGGTGACTTTTGCCTTATGGACAGAGCAAGGAGAATTTATGCCCATGTATGTCTTATGTGGACAGAGCAGGGAGACAGCTAATTGTATTTATATTACGGTACCACAATACACCACAAAGCTATCGCCCTATTTCTAGCATAAATATAAAATAAATATAAATATATATGTAACATTTCACAAAGCAGATGAGCTAAATTTGCTTTTCAAAAAAGACACAAGACAAACCAAATACAACAATTTGCCTCATGCAGTCCTTTGCCCACAACTCCCTCCCCCCCAGCCCTGTCACCACATTTCTAAGAATATGCCACTTTCAGTTTTTCCATGTCACTTATACAGTGAACTCCTTAGAAATTTTATACATAAATCAACTTCTCCACAGTGCTAACAGAAATCTAGCTTGTCTCTGAGGTCAGCTGATACTTCAGTTGATTTGGATTTTGAGAACTATCAGCAGTAGCACATTTACTTTCAGTGCTCAGTTCTTTGAATTTGTGCTTTCTATTTCCAGGGAAGGATCAGGCCAATCCATCTGCACAGATCCAGTTGCGTCAGGGAGATTGCCCTGAATCTTCAGTGGCTGAGGCTCTGGCCCTATCTACTGAGAAAATTTATTAAATTATGTCCAGATTTTTGCAATGCCAGCTCTTCCTTGCAAACCTGACACTTCTGGGGGAAGAGGAAGGGGGTTTCCTGAGGCCTCTCATGTATCTGTCATGATGACAAGCTTCTTAAAAAAGAAGTAGGATTACCATAACACATTTACTAGCCTGTTAATAGCAAAACAGAAACTGAAATTACACATGCAGTTCTGCTAATGAGAGGTTATTTTGTTTTAATTCAATGGCCATTTGACAGGAATGAAATCCACTAACTCCTAAAATCTTTGTTTACTTAGAGTCTCAAAGGTGAAGTAATTAAAAAAAAAAAAACAACACCTTTCTGAGTTTTGTTAGCCATGCCACTAACATGTCACTTGAATCACTTGATGAAAACCCAATGTTGATCTAAACCAATATTACAAGTAAACAGTGAAATCCTAGAAAAAGGCAGCTACTTTACTGGAAACTCTTCATCCAAGTGCTATTTCTGCTGCATAGGCTCCAAGCAGCTGCTGCAAAATATGACGTGATTATCCGAAAGGCTGCACCTTTGAGTAAAAGGAACACTATTGATTTTCATTTTGAAGACTTACTGAAACCTAGGAGGAAAGGGAGTGAGGGATTGTTAAGTTCCAGGTAAAGTAAAACAGAGATAATGACAACTGCAAGGGAGGCAAGTAGATGTGCAGCCAGAACGTCTGGCTGCCTTTAAAGCTGCATAATTCTGTAGCAGCAAACTTCGGGGAAACAGTCAGGTTTGTTTTCCAGGAAGAGATAATAATGTAGAAACCTCTTTTTTGTGGCTTTCTTTAATCACATGGAGAGGTGGTGTTAAAAGCCAAACGGCACAGAGAGACGCTCTCTTTTGAACTTCAAAAGCACAATACATCCCAGGCTCAGTTCACTAAATGGGTGCTTTACTGAAAGTTAGTCATCACTCATGTTGAGCTGATCTCCTGTGCCTCTTTTAGAAACAACTATTTTAGCAGCCTTTGCCGTTACAGTACTGGCAGGACAATTCAAGTGTGCAGAGAGCGTGTCACTGGAACTGACATCAAAATTCATGTGTCCTGTTGCATGTTTCTCTTCAAACATTTTTGAGCATATTTACAATAGCCGTGCAAATTCAGTTAAAATATTTTCAATAGCTAAGTAGTCATTTCTCCAGAACTGTGCCTTGGAACATTTTGTTCATGCACCATAGTATCCTATTTCATTTCAGATTTATAGGTCACTGCTTGCTTCTAGTACAGACTGAGCTGTCATTTTTTTGCAAATATATGGCACAAATAAATCCCTGCCTTGCATCCCTTTGGCGTTTCCTAAGAGGGCTGAGTAGTTTGGTGCTGTGTGCTACATCTGGAGCACCTTTAGAAAGCACTGGTAAACCAAGTTTGGCTACAAGCAGAAACACAAACACATCTATGATCCTAGCACGGATCTTTGCTTCACAGAAGTGCACTGCTATTCAGTGGAACAGTGAAAAAGTTAATTTGCCCTGCCTCAGTCCTACAATGGCTGATTCAGTTGCATTGAGATGAGGTAAGACCATATTGTGACAGAGCAGTTGCTTTGCTAAAATAGAGCTAACAAAGGGGGGGAATGGTTTATAGCTTCTTTTGTTCCCCCTCTGGCCCTCATTAAATCTATGCTATCTTCTTCAACCAGGAGTAACCAAAGCACAGCAAACTTGGGCACCCAGCCTCAGCCCACACCTTTCCACTTCTTCCCTACCTGGGGAAGAACATCCTCCAGTGAGATACTAACTACTGCCCTGAGGGGTTCCTCTCACAGATGCTACTTTTTTACCTCAAGTATGTTTCAAATACTGAGAAAGTTAAATTTTTTTAATAGTATCCTGCAGCAAAACAAAAGGACTTAACAGCTCCTGCACAAGAAAATAAGAGGATACTACCCTAAAATCTGCTTTTTCTTTTCAGGGAATTGCCAACAGGCAGTTACAACAATCATTTCCCAATTGATGGTAACCAAACACATTTTCTGTGAAGATGATGTTGGATTCTGGTAAGTAAAAAAGTTACTGTTGTTTTTTCCCCCTCCTTTTTTCCTCCTTCCTATTTTTCCAAGAACTCAGTATTGTCTTGTATGCTTGCTTTGAACCAGTGGTAGTTTGTATGTACAAGTCATCTGAACAAATCTTTGTGACAGTCCCTGCATGTGCCTGCTGTCAGCCAAAAGGCTTTGATTCTTCATGAACTCAAAAAAGATAGCTATTTCTTCCTGTTCAGAGGTCTAAATCTCCACAGATCATTGGAAACTTTCTCTCCATTGCCTTTGGATCAGATGCTCAGGCTCTTATTCAGCTGCAGCCCTTCCCCTGAGGAGAACTTAGTTTCTGGAAAGCTAGCGCCTGATGGCCCTATTCATGGAATCACAAATGAAATCTGACCTGATGCAGAAGATGTAACTAGGCAAATGAATTAAACTGGTTTTCTCCAACCCCTCAATTACTTTATGTCCAAAATGGATTTCTTATATTTTAGCAAAAACTCAAATCCTTTTGAGATACCTTTTGAATTCAGTTTTGCAATTACTGTCAACTCTTTGCAGCAACTTCAATGGGAATTTTGCATAAGTCTGAGGAAAACTGAGGCCTTAATTCTGTATTCCTTGCTAATGCAATTAACTGTAAATCTGAAATGTTCTTGGATTAGTCAATGGCATGGTTTTTCCCTTGGTCAGATTTTTATTTTACTCCATGAATATTCAGCCTTAATTACAGCTTTTTTGGGTTGGGTTGGGATTTTGTTTCCAGTGAAATCTAAATTTAGCATTTACATTTTTATCATTGGAGAATTAATGGAGAGAAAGTTTTGCACTCAATTCTTTCTTCAGCAGGCTTTTCATATCAGTAAGGCCATTCCCTTTTTGTGACAGAAACAGCAAAGTCAGTCACTTTACATGTCTGTTTGGATCCTACCTGCCACATTATTAACAGACTCTGAATGATATCTCTCAGTTATTGGGTACGTACTTTCAGTGCAGCATTTTATTTCCAGTTATGATCCTGCCAAACTCAACAACAGGCTCCTGCAATAGCTCTGCAGTGACTCTGGTCTAGACTGAGAAGTTTGTCTTTTATTGACACTCTGCCTGATTGATTTGCCAGATTTGGTAAGTAAACAGGAGCTCATACATCCTAGAAGCTTTCCTTGTTCTGTAATACACAAAGGTGTTTCTTAATTACAACAGTGTGGAAGTGAACACAAATAACAGAACAACCAGTAATCCTAATATCTGAAAAATTCTAATCTATTCTAGCCATGTACTCCTGCTGCTGTTTTGCACCAGTTCTGATATTTCTGGGATGCCTTTTTTAGCCATTTTAGCTCTTTAATGTGACATGACTGGATTTTATTTTTTTTTCCCTAAGATAGCAAGTTGTCTTGACTCTGGAAGGGTTCAAGAGCCATCATGACGGATGAGGTGGGATTCCATGGACAAGGAGCAGGGATGGAGAAAGAGAAAGGCCAAGTTGTGGGGGAAGTAGCTGGATTGTTTCATCTGTCTGACACCACAGTTGTTTAAAAACCACCCTGCCTATATTGTTTCTATCACACAAAATGTACAGCTGACAGCCTTCTAGTTACTGGCTCACAGGAAAGCTAAAATTATTAAGCAAAATTTCACTTTGGGACTGGTTTTATTTACCAGGCTTGACCAATGTGCTAAGAGAGGACACGTTTAGATTTAGAGCAACTCAAAGTAAGGTTACGCTGGCCATGCTGTTGGGGGTCACACTAGCTGGACGAAGCACTTAAGGTTGCCTTTAGCACTTCAGTGGGGGGGGCTACATAAACAGTATGGATGAGCCTGCTTTATCAGAGTGTCTTTCACCTGCTTACCAGTTTCAGTTTGGAGGATCAACCACTTGGCGCAATGTATGCGTTACAGGAATGTACTGAAGGTGCTGTAGTGTTTACGTAATTCTAGGAGGGAAGTAGAATCATTTAGTATACGTAGAAAGAGAAGCAGGATCTGCCATGTATGAATGTTTAAAGGTTAAGTTACCTTATAGTTCCTTGGATTAAATGAGACCCTTTTCACTTCCCATGAGTAAATGCACTTGCCCTACCAAGTAAGGATGTCAAAGTGTATCAAATCACCATTTTAAGGAAAATAATGGAACTCCCAAGTAGCAATATCATAATGAGTGAACAGGCACCATTTTTCCAATGCTAAATGTTTCCATCATTACTTTCAATCAGCTCCAGCAGTGTCTGCTTTGGCTCTTGCTTACCTGAGTATATTCCCATTGCCTCACCAGATATGAGAAGAGTTACCAGCCGATCATGTGTCTATATGTGCCTATCTCCACCACACCCACCTCTTCTCTTTTGCTTTCTCCCCGTCACTGTCAGCATATGTTTCAGCTGATATGGATGCCTGGGACTCCTGCTATCAGAAGTTGTGTCCATAGTAGGTAGATTCACACTTGCCAACCAGTAGCTGGGTGGCTGTATTTAGACCATTATCAAGACAAAATGACTAATGCCTGGTGAGAGCCAGAGTAGGTTGGCTCAGAGCCAGTTCCTCCTGTACTGCATAACTTCTTACAGGTGCCAGTATAGACACAGGGGGAGGGAGTCTACCTAACTCTGTCCTTTGCTGTCATCCAGCTCCAGCAAGTCTGTACTTGTCCCCTCCCTCTCTGAAAGGACAGGGCAGATTTCACAACTTATGTAACAACAATTTTGGAAATCCCACAGGATGGAGACACACAGATAGGGAAATGTCACAATAGTTTCCTTATAGATTTCTCCTCAGGAAGGGGGGGGAGATCCCCCACTCCTTACAGGTAAGAGCGTGGCTGCCTTTACCTCCAGATTTTCCAGCTCTTTGAGGGTAAGAGAGTCAGGACAGCTACCCTTGTCACTCTGTCCTTTTCTCTGTCTTACTTACTTACAGCCTGGTTGCAATGCAGTAGTTTTACAAGACTTCTGAAGCCAGCAGAGGTTTTTATAAAGGGGATTCTCATCCCACAGATTGTGTGTGAGTGCAGATAAACTCCTTAACTGTCACTGGGATGGGGAGAAGTTGAAGGGTGGAGAAGAAGAGAGAATGGGTTTGTGACATGATTTCTCTGTGTTGCTCTGTGTAGTTGTCTGCAAAGCCTTATTTGTTCACATAGAGCAACTGAGCCCCTTTCCATAGGAACTGGTAGCTAGGAATTGGTCAAAAATCCAGCTATTAGAGTTATAGGGCATTAATGGAATATAATACACAAATTTCTCTCTGATTTCCTCTTCCTGCATCAACGAGAGCAGTGGCCTTCATGGGACAAGATCTCCTCCCAGTATACCAAATTCTGGCACTGAGAAAGGGTCTTGACACGAGGCTCTTGTCTGCTAGCTGGAGAGAAGAAGCTCTTTCACTGTTGGGAGCATGTCTCCATGATTCACAGCAGATCAGATCATTTGATTACACAGTCACCAGTAGCAAAGTATGAGGCCACAGAGCAGAAATGTCTACATGGAACAATATCAATGTATGATGGGGGACTAACAAGAACTTTAGAGAAGGGGCCTTATCCTCAGCATGAGAGGCTTAATATGTCAATCTTAATTCATATGGCAAAGCGGTCATCCAAATGATCATACCTAAGCCTGAAGTTCCTTGAGCAATAAGAAAGGCATATATGAACTGAAGAATTAAAGGATTTCAGTTATGTGAGTGAGAACATTCTGTGAAACAGAGGAACAGAAGGGAAGGAAAAACCCTCAGTAACACTAACAAAAGCATGTTCAAACAATAATATTCCCAGGCAAATCATCTTTCCAAGAGAATTTATAATCAGATGTGAAAATCATATCCTGAGCCAGATATGACTATGGCTTTTAGCCATGTCCTATGGGATTTTCAAAATAAAACAAAGGAAAGATCATTGATGAAGTGGCAAATAGAAGACTAATATCCTGATCTGCAGCCTGATTCTCCTAAATTAGGTCATACACTTTCTGTCTTTGCACAAACCCAAGAGTTGGTAAGGAAGCAGTTCTGATTTTCTTGTAGTCTAACAGCTGAACTTTCTGTCAACTACCAACATCCTGTTTCTTTTACTGTCAGAGCTACACAGCCACTTTGCAGTCAGATCTGATTAGCTCAGACCAGGTGGCATTATTTGATGGGTCATTATACAGTGAGTAAGCCTTTCTGCTGAAATCGAGGCTCTTGACTAGTCCTAGGAGGAAGAATACCTGTTGTGTCAGCCTGCTACATACACAACCTAGTCCTACTTTTGCTGCCTCTATGATCAATAGCAAAACTCCCACAACTTCAGTTGAGATTCATGGAAGTATTTAGTTCTTCAAAAGTTCTCCTTTTCATATTTTTGCTCTTGGGAGATGGTTGTCTTAGGTATATGGATGGTCTTGCCCTTTTGCAGCATTCCACAACCAAACATGGGAGTCCTGAGGTGGTAGTTCTGTTTGTCAAGAAACACTTCCTGCCCATTATTCCCCACCCCCTACCCCCCCAGTAATCTAGAGGCCAGAGCAGTTGCATCTGAACAGATTCAGCACTAGGAGAGGATTTCGTTTAAGTCCTTGTTGCCTCAGAGGCAAAGGTCCTGCACTACACAGGCTTCTGTGGAGGAGGGGAAGGCACTTTGGTCTGTGGATGCTGTACAAAGAGTTGTGCATCTCTCTGGGCTAAGAAGAGAGCAGGGGAGGTCTGCAACCTGCTGCTTCATTTGCTCCCTGCGCCTGAGAATCCTGTGATATAGTCATTGCTCCAGAATTAGTTCTAGATTTTAGTTATTCACTGTTAAATCCTTATTCCTTTTCCTACAGACACTTAGGTCTCCAGATGCTTAATTCCTTTTCCTGGACTTGTTCCTGGGTTATCAGCTCCATTTCCTAAAGTGGCTGAAGTAGATTATCAGCTCCATTTCCTAAAGTGGTCACAGACTGGAGTATTTCCAAAGCAGGACTAGTGTTTGCAAGTCTGAGCTTCAACTTGATCATATAAGGATATTTCTTTCACTTAAGCTTACAGTAAAATTA